GACAGTCTTCAGTTTCTTTCCTTGTGGAATTGATTTCAGTATATGGATCTTGTGTCTGGTTAGGTTGGTTGGTTGGTTTTGTTTTGTTTTGCTATATTAGTGATAGAACCCAGGGCCTCTGCATTGAGCTTCACCCCAAACCCATTTTTAAAAGAGGGAATGAAGCATGCTGGGATTTAGCTCAGTGGCACTGTGCCTGCTTTGCAAGCCCAAGGTCCTGAGTTCAGAGCCCCTGAGTACCCCTCAAAAAAGAGGGAATGAGGCCAGAAACATATTAGAAAGTTGTAAAGATTTTGGGATTACTGTGTATCAAATATGAGTTTCAGCTTTTATAATGGCTAAGATGAGATAAATGATTTTTTGCAGAGGAATGTCCATCTTGTAAACAGAAAATTGCATTTCCTTGACCCCTTCTGGCCCTGGCATGAAGGTGAAGAAGGGTAGGTGTAGTCATCAGCCTAGAGCACACAGGAGCCCCCTGTTCTTTGGCTTTTGCTATGGCCTTTTTTTTTTTTTTTTTTTTTTTCCTTTTTTAAAATAACGTACAGGAGATTGAACTTGGGACCTTGTGCTTTTCAGACAGGTGGCGGAATCACTGAGCTAAATCCCTAGCCTGCTATGGCTTTTTTGGAAAGAGAAAAGGCATAGCCAGCCCAGAAAGCTCCAGAAATTGGCTACCTTGGCTTTCCTCTTGTCTCAGGGACATTGCTTGGAGATTTCCAAAATGTCACTGCTTTTAATGGAAAGTTTTTGGGGTTGGTTCCTCTTTATGGGAAGAATGCAGCTGGGCCCTCTTTTGTCCTGTGTCCTTGCTTATCTACTCTGCCCTGAGGCTGGAGCTTCTCCAAGGTGGGGCCTTCATCCCACCTGCAGCTGTGGCCACTTACCTGGCATTTGCTCCAAATACAGCATCAGCTGTACTTTTCCTCAGCTGCTCTAAAGAAGAAGTCTGGGGCCAGCAGATTTAGCTCAGTGGTTCCACCGCCTGCCTTGGAAACGCAGGGACCCAAGTTTGATCCCTGGTGCCAAAAAAAAAAAAGGAAAAGTCTGATTGCAGCACCCAGAGGCCTTCATTCTTTAGCTTTATTCACTATGTCCTCTACTCCCGTTTCATTCTTCTCCAGTACATGGAGGAACCTTCTCTTGTGCAGGGCCATGTTGCACCCATCCCCTTGTCTCTTTGGACGTGCTGGTTAAAAAGACTACTGGTGTCCTTAGCTCCCCTGGCACTGCTCCTTCTGTATAGTTCCTTACTTGGTGCTTCTGTCCAGTCACCCAGCATGTTCTTGTACTCTGTCCCCTTACCATTGTCACTTCACCCCAGTCCTGGTTTGATACTTGTATGCTTAGAGATATTTCTTTTTTAAATGGGTTGTATTTCCTCTATAGTACTTACTTTGAAAGGAAGCTACGCCGGGCGTGGAGGCGCACACCTGTAATCCCAGCACTTGTGAGGCTGAGGCAGGAGGATCGCTGTGAGTTCGAGACCAGCCTGGGCTGCATAGTGAGCTCCAGGTCAGTCTCAGCTACATAGTGAGACCCTGTCTCAAAAAACCGAAAAAAAAGAAGAAGAAAGAAAGAAAAGAGGCTAAAAGCCTCACAAGGAAATAAAGTTAAATACCATGAGAATAAAGTGAAGTTGTTAATTTCTCTCTAGGTGTCTGCTAATATGTCTCAGTACAGCCTTCACATTGCATCAGTGTGAAACTATGGCTTTCCTTATCAATACCGGGATGAGAATGAAAGTAGGAAAACTTGAGCCCAGAGCTCAGTACATCCTCCACCTAAAGCCAGCCTGCTTGCCTGCTGGCTTTAAGATAGAGTTATGCAAATCCTTCCACAGCACTACTTCAGGCCCTGGCTTGTTTCTCTGAAGGTGGCTGTGTACCCCTCTCTGAGGTTGGGGTTCCTCCCCATCAGTAGTGAAATCATCTCATCTCTCTTGTCACCTCAGGAATGATGGCGAGTGATTTCTACAGATTCCTTGCACAGCTGGATGCAGTTTCTGGTTCACTGCCTCTTCTTGAATGGCCTGCCCCACTGTGCTGCACCTCTCTGGTCAGCAGTGACATGCTCTTTGTCAGACTTGTGTACACATACACAGTCACACTTTTGTATGATTTCCTAGGTAGCCCCCATGTACTTTCCTCCCAGTTGCAGGTGAGAGGGGAGACCACTCCTCCATATAGAACTGGGCAACTATGCGTTAATTTGTTACTAGGCAGCTGTGGGTTAACTGGGTAACTATGCTGTTTGTAGAATGTACCTGACAAGCCATGAGAACGTCTATAATCTGTCACCAAAGGAGCCTGACAGACTCAGAGAGTCCTGCTGGAACTCTTTGCTCTCCCCCTCTCCACTGCCCCGCTTTATATAAATCCTGATTGCTATATTCTGAGGGAAATTCCAATGGAGTTAAGCTTTGTAGATGTAAAAAGAGGTATATAAGGAAACACAAACTTCTCTTGGGGCTCTTGAGACTGACAGGAGTCACTTGCTGAGCCATTGGCATCATTAAAAGCCACTTTTTGGGCTGGGGATTTAACTCCGTGGTTTCGCCCCCTGCCTTGGAAGTTCAAGGACCTGAGTTTGATCCCCAGTACCCCCCCAAGCCACTTTTTGCTCCTGTCTTTGTGTTAAAAGAATTATTTGTGTCTGGGTCCTCATTGTTTGTTGCTTTACCGGAACTCTTCTAGGTCTATCTACTCAGCAGTTACTTCTTGTTCCATAAATACCCGATAGGATAGGGAATCCTTGATACATGAAGCAGGCCCACCCAGTCAGACATCAGCCTTTAGAAACCATTGTAGGGGCTAGATGGCAGGAGTTCAGTCATAGAGCATGTATTTAGCATGCACAAGGCCCTGGGTTCCATCTGCAGCACCAAGAAAAAAGGGTAAGGGGGAATGAGAGAAACCACTGTAGTGTGTGATGTAGGTGCTTGTAGGCTCTTGTGATCATTCACTAAGCCCACCCGCAAATAAGTTGCTTCAGGGAAACACCCCATCTTGGTCCTCAGCTCCTGTCTCACTGCTCCCCTGTCCTCTTGAAGCGTACCAAAGATTTTGTTCTTAAATTGGCTCTGTGAGGTCCATACTGTAGTTTTCATTGCTTCCAGACAATCGTTTGTTGATTCCTGAGTTACATTTGTTCCCTGTCCCCTTCAGAATCGGCACTAAATAATCTTGAGCTACTCCCACACGGATTCCTTTCCATATCAACTTCTTCCTTAGAGCAGTGCTTTCTTTCATTGTTCTCTAGTTGGGTGGTGACTGCACCTGTAGTTAGCCCCAGAGTACCATGGAAAAAGAAGGTTCTGTCTGGCGAAGTTAGTTTTTTCCCTTGGGCTCACCCTGCAACCAGGACCATAGTGTAGTGGGCATATGGCCAGGACCTGCATGCCAGGCTGCTAGCCTGCCTGGTGTCCAGAATTTCAGCTTTCCACAAATGCCAGTGACAGACTACTGAGTTGCTTTACATAGCACAATGGTGTTTTTAATAGTAATTTGGCAGAACTGCATTTGTAAGGAAATTTATGATGTCCTTGGTTCAAATTACATTTGGACTGAATAATAATTCATCAGCAGCTAGAGTGCCAAGGTGTAAAGCTGCTTCTCGACCCACTCACTGTGTTCCAGAATGAAAGCTACAACAGAGCAAACCAGCCTGCCCTGCCTTTTCTCGTTCTTCTGCCTGCTGGTGGTCATAAAACACTCCTTTTTGAAAGCTCTTCCTTGGCTGACTTCCTCAGCCAGAAAGGTTTTCTTATCCCCACTGAACTTCCAGGTTGATTCCTGGAGATGCTTGTTAGATATAGGCAGCCCCAGCTACATACTGTTGAGTTTAAAGCTGGCAGTATTTTTTTTCTTACCTGTAGAAAAACGTCGTAAATAGGCAGGACACAAAAGGTTGCATGGCCTGTTCACATTTGACTTTTGTTGTTGTTGTTTTCTTTTTCTTTCTCATTAATAGCTTGGAACTCTCAGCCCCATAAATAGAGGGTGGGTTATTGTTTCTGGAAGGTGCTTGCATTAAGAATGTGTTTACCCCCAAATTACAGTTGTGTATCTTGGAGTTTGTCTCATTGTAATAACTGGACCGGTGTGCAAACTTGCCCTTTTGAGCATGTTTGCAGCAGGGTTTACAGAGTGCCTTCAGCATTGGTTGTTCAGGGAGGGATGAGGGGCCCCATCTGGTGATGAGGTGCTCAACGAGCAATGGCAGGCAAGCAAGGCATTGTCACTGGAGGTGCCCCTTTCTAGTTAATAAAATGGTAGGTTGGATATGGATTCTTTTTTTTTTTTGTACTGGGGATCGAACTCGGGTCCATGTGCTTGCAAGGCAGGCAGCGGAACCACTGAGCTAAATTCCTGGCCCTGGATTCTTCTTTTAATCTGCAGTGACTTTGTATGATTTCTTTCATCAGCGTGCATGTATTATTTACGGTACCAAGAAAATGTTCTGAGACTGAGGCTATGCTCTGAGCACTCTGCAGAGGTTGTATGGGCCATCGAGGTCAAGCAGGACTGGAGTCTGCTGATCAAGTGGAATTATGGACCTGCCTCAGTGCTCAGTGAGCCAAAATACAAACAATTTGAATGTAAATGCCAAATTCAGGGACTTGCAAACTTTTTCTCACTCTAGGCTTTGTCCTCTGAATACTGGCAGGTGGGGAAAGGAATGTGCAGATTTGTGAAACATGACTTTATTATACCTTCTCCCGGATGAACTCCCTAATACCCAGTACCTGCTGGCTTCTGATTGGTTCTCACCTCCATGCCTATTTCACACTGTTGGAAGGTCATCTCTCTCTTCTCTGCTGGATGGTGAACCTTGGAGGGCAGCAGGTATTAGAGCCCTTGTATTTAGAGCATAGAATGATTCTGCCAACGCCAAATGCCAGGGGAGCTCAGTCTGGAATCTGCAGCCAGGGGGCCGTATGATTTAGGAGTGCCCATCTACTGCCTCATCTCTGATAGGACTTTTCTGTTTCCTTGTAGAGTGCCTGCTGAAGAATGTGATGGGATCAGTAGCATGTCTGCGGAGAGCGGCCCTGGGACAAGATTGAGAAATCTGCCAGTAATGGGGGATGGACTAGAAACCTCCCAAATGTCTACAACGCAGGCCCAGGCCCAACCCCAGCCAGCCAACGCAGCCAGCACCAACCCCCCACCCCCGGAAACCTCCAACCCCAACAAGCCCAAGAGACAGACCAACCAACTGCAATATTTGCTTAGAGTGGTGCTCAAGACACTATGGAAACACCAGTTTGCGTGGCCTTTCCAGCAGCCTGTGGACGCTGTCAAGCTAAACCTCCCTGTGAGTAGTTTGGGCCAGGCTCAGGACCTCTGTCCACCCTCATTCTCCTCACAAGGACAGATTCCAAGGGAGGGTGGAGATGGGTTGGAGTTATGGCAAAACCTCTGACTGCCAGCACCTACAAGGCATTTGAGTGTATGGTTTTACTAGTTCTGATAATCAGAATCGGGAAGGAGGAGCTAAGTGGCTTAAACATTAACTGGTTTCTTAATTATCGGGGTCTTCAGGAAAGAAAAAAGAGAGGTTAAAAGAGGTCACAGATTCACCTCTGTTTCCAAGGTGTGCTGAAATAAAAGTGCTCGGCAGTCCCAGACCCTTCCCCTCTCAAGGTTTGTGGTGTACCATGCCAGAAGTAGAAATGTTGATCAGACTGTACTAAAAGGGACTGGCTTGCTGCATGGTAGTCATTGCACAAGATGGGAATACTCAGAAGATTCTCTCACAGGCATTGAGTGTATGGAAGGGACTTGGGAAGAAGAGGCCCTGGCTGTGTCTAGATAGGCCATGTCCTCAGTGGGCAACTTCGACCTCTCCCTAGAGTTTTCCATTTGCCCATATGTCTTGGCAGACAGCTCTGTAAGCATAGCCATCTCCCTATCTGAACATCAGGGTGCAATTCAAATAGATGCTTTAATTTTTGCTTTTCTTTAAAGCATCAAGGACTTCTCTAAGCTGCCCTTGTCTACCTGGACCCATACCCACTGGCAAGTGAATTAGTTGGGTCTGCCTGTGGAGGGGCAGCCGTAGCACCCTCCAACCATTCAGATTCATGAAATAAGAATACCCTAGTCTTGGCCTTCTTGCCTGTGACAGTTGTCCAGTGCTATCCCGCCATCACATACATGTCATATGAACTTGAGGGAAGGGACAGCCAGAGAGAGTGCCACATGTCTGGATAACAAACTGGCGCGGGGAAGGGTGGAAGCAAAAGAGGGCCCTATATCTGCATGGACAGAGATCCAGAAAGACAGCCAGCTGTGATGCCTGACAAGCCACCACGCCCAGCTCACCATTTCTAGAAATTTGGCTTTAAAGGGAAAGTATCTAGCCAGAACAGGGGAGGAGCCATTTTATTGTAAGAAAACAAAATGAGGACAGAGACTTGGAGGGCTGGGCCAGCACAGATCAGGTAGAAGGGGGCTCTGAGAGAATTGAGATCTCTGAGGAAGCAGCATCCTAGGAGAGGCTGTGGGAGCGGCACTGACTAGTGAGATAGACAGATGTTGTATGACTGGTGAAACCAAGGGATGGGTCCCAAGTGAGCAGAGGGATTGCTATGCTCTTGGCAGAGTATGGGTCTGTCTCTGACTGTTGATAGTACCCCTTATAGCTGTGACAGGGGAAGGGGCTGATTGCTGGTGGCACTGATCGAATGTCTTCAGTGATGGGAGAGCGGGGAACCTAGAGGAGAAAGGTGGTTGTATGCTGTGAAGACATCCTGTAACCCTCATTGTGGGTGGACAGAAGGGCTGGTCAACTAGCAGCAGCATCACCCAGTTATTCTGGGAGCTTAACAAGAGCTTCCTCTTCTATAGGAGCTATCAGTAGATACCCCTGCCTCCTATAAAACGCTTCCCCCCATATCTGCCTTCTGAGGCCTTCAAGAGCTTTACCTGTGTGTGTCCATCTTGTCATGCCTGAAACCCATTGCCCTCACTGTCAGTCCCACTCCCTAACACTGCTTTCATCCCACCTCCCTCTTGCTCAGCTCTCTATCACTGTCTTCTTTGCCCTTGAGGTACTTGAACCCACTGTGGCCAGTGCACATACAGAATACTATTCTTGGGGAACTTTGGCCACAGAATGAAATGTAGATTTCTGTTGGGGGCTGATGTATTTGAGCTTGGAAAAGAGGCCTGAGCATAGTGTGGACAGTCTTAGTTTTGAGTACAGGGCCCTTGACCTCTTGTCCAGGATACCTGGGTGTGCACATGCAGTCTTTACTGGGACAGAGCCCTGACCTATGCCAGCTCTTGAACACAATTTGTTCATTTCCGTGTCAGAGCAACTCACACCCCACTGTCCATCATTTTCAACCAGGACCCTGCTGCTTCCTAGTGGTAGTTCTGCACTTCCTACAGCAGCCTCTTTGTGACCCTAGTTGCCCCATTTGGACTTAATTCTGATGTTACGGGGGGGCCTTCTCATGGAGGAGATGCCCTGAGAAAAGGCACCTCTCGTTAGGTATGGCCTAGAGGCCGGACCTTGATTAGTACTTAGGGGCCTTGCTGTCTCTGTGAACTCCTCCCTGGTTCTCTGTGGTTGCCCAGGCACTGCTTGAGCTATCCCCAAATTCTTCACCTATTTTGGAGAATAAACTTTTGTGTTTTGGAGTAGTTTGGATTTAGAGAAAAGTTGTGAGGGTGGTACAGTGTTTGATTTCAAAGGCTTTAAGACATCTATATAGGTCATCTTGAGTCCTCATATTTGGGGAATAAGATCTGAAGCTTTGTGGGCTGTACCTGCTGGATTTTTTCATTGAGGACTGCAAAGATTATGTCCTTTGGCAGTTAAGCTGGGTAGTGCAGCTGTGCGAGAATATTAATAAATCCTTAGTGGTAGCCTGCATGTAAGTGAAAGAAATGGATGTAGGATACACATTTGCGCTTCACAGTTCTGCTTTGTGATATAAAGTAGGGAATGTAATTGTTAGGAGGATTCAGATGTGGATACACAGGAATTTGCATTTCATGAACAAGTAAAATTTCAGGTAGTATGGACAGACGACTGGCTATGGGTTGTTTCACTGGGTGAGAACTGCTTTTTATAAAAAAAAGAATAAAGGCTGTGTGCTTTGCGTATTTAGAACAAAAGGATATATATTTTTTTATTTTTGTGGGGGTACTCGGCGGTCGAACTCGGCTCCTTGTGCTTAGTGAGGCAGGCGGCAGAACTGCTGACCTAAATCCCCAGCCCTAGGGGATATTTTAACATAAAAGAAAAAATTAAAGTTCAACAAAGACAACCTATTCCAAGATAGGGCAATAGGCAGCTTGCACATTTTCCTTCCATATTGCCATCTGGTGTTTTGGAGTCCTTCTCTGTCCACTTTATCTTGGGTCTCACTTGAGGTCACTTGCTGACATTATGGGAGAGCTTCCATCTCTGCTATACTTCTGTGGGTTTACCTGTGAAGTGACCTAGGATGAAACCCACAGGCCGATCTTCCCAGGATAGCTCCTGATAGCTGGACGTGACCATTGATAAAAGACACTGGTCTTTGCCCTCTCCTTCCCAGGATTACTATAAGATCATTAAAACACCTATGGATATGGGAACAATAAAGAAGCGCTTGGAAAACAACTATTACTGGAATGCTCAGGAATGTATCCAGGACTTCAACACTATGTTTACAAACTGTTACATCTACAACAAGGTGAGTTATGAGAGTGGGTGTCCAGATGCCCCGGGGGGAAGAGGAGGAGGTAGAGAAGATGGAGGACTTGTCAGGAGGCCAGGGACAGGGGTAGGGGTGCTTAGAAGAACCTGGGTTTCCAGTCTGATAGCAGGACACCATTGAAAGTGGAGGTGATGGGACTTCAGTTGTGCCTGGGACTGGGAGTGTTTATTTTGTGGGGAGGAATGCACTGGCCGCTTTAAGCTGGCTTTGTGAGCCTGGAGATGTACCCCTGGTACCCTTGGGATTTTGGTTCTTTCCCATGTCTAGTAGAGAAGCTGTGAGGAAGACAGTGACAGCCCATGATAGTCCACTGGGATGGTATGAGTTGTCAGGGAAGAGCCTACTTAACTGTAATCATGCAGAGGAGGTATGCTCAGACAGAAATGTCAGTGTGAGTGAGGGTGCAGTGGGGTGGGCTGCAGAGCCCAGCTGTTCTGTGGGTCATATTCTCGGAACTGTGGACATGACCATTGATAAATCTTGGCCATAGAGATGAGTATCCCCTTGATCTTACATGTAGACCTGAGAGCCACTTCTAACCCCGTAGCCAAACCTTTTGGCTCGGCCATGAAGCCAGATCATTTGTTTACAGTTCAGACCACAGAAGTGATTAAAACCAACCCTTTCAAATATAACGACTCTGGAGGGAGACACTATACAGAACTCAGCTTTTGACCTCTGCTGGTGTAGTGGGTAAAATTGCCCAGAAGAGATGGGTAGGTGAGTTTCTTGAAGTTTACTGTGTTTTGTAAAGTCTTAGCTCTCACCACTTTTAGGTGAAAGTGAAATGTATGAACCAGGCCCTTGGTTCAGAGCTGAGTGGTAACAGCATGTTCTGGACATAGTGACAAAGTGGGGACCCGTAAAACAGTACGAATGAGATGGGCCTTGTCCAAACCCCACCAAGCTGTCTTGGGGATACATTGGGAGCACTGTTGAAGCCCTGCTAAAGTATTTGTGGCAGGAAATCCTGTATAATTTAAGCATTATAGTGAATTCAGTCGAGATATGCCAACTAAAGCAAGGAGAGCTCCTGTCAGGAATTGGCAAAACTTGGTAGATGCTTTTAAGGCACTAGAATGGTTTCCCAGACAGGCTAGAGCTTTAGCAGTAAGATAAGGAGGTGCATGTCAGATAGATGCTGGGTCGGCACCTGTTGGGGACACCTGGGAGCATATATAGCTGTGGCCCCTTGGGCTCCATGTCAGGGTAAGCGTGTAAATACAATGCTTCACACGTTGGGGCAGGGGGTGGCTTGGGTGTCCTGTCCACAGAGACAGGGAAGGGGAGGGCTTCTGGCTCTACCACACATGTCTCCTCACCCAGCCTGGAGATGACATCGTCTTAATGGCAGAAGCGTTGGAGAAGCTCTTCTTGCAGAAAATCAATGAACTTCCCACAGAAGAAACTGAGATCATGATAGTCCAGGCGAAAGGAAGAGGACGAGGGAGAAAAGAAGCAGGTAGAGTACAGAAATAGCAAGCAAATTGGTTTTGTTTTTTTTCCAAGTTTAACGGAGGAGTAGGGGAGACAGGAAGTTAGATGGTGACAACCTGCTGAGGTTCTTCTGCTGTTTGGAAGCAGTGGGATCAGTGTCAGTATTGGATCTGCCCCACTTGGTTCTGTGATGCTATGGTTTTCTCCCAAGTAATAGTCAATGGCCTTGTCTTCTCTATGGTGCTAAGTGGAATTAGGTTAGAAGAATCCCAGCACTCGTGAAGCTGAGGCAAGAAGATGGAACATTAAGGCCAGCCTGAACTACATAGCAACACCCTGTTAAAACAAAAAAGAAGACTTTTCAGAGTACTCTGACATTGTTTGAATTTTCACCTTGACAGTGTTGTATTGCTGTAGATGGTTTCTTTTCCCCCTCCTACTTCTCTCCCTCCCTTTCTTTTTTCTGGTCATCCAGGTGAATCCAGGGCTGTGCGACTGCTAGGCAGGTGCTGAGTATACCTGTAGCCTTGCCTTTCCATTTTAGAGTAAAGAAATTAACCTGATCGGAAGCATTTTTAACCAGTGACCTGGTTAAAAAAAAAAAAAAAAAGCCTTGAGGCTTGTGTGGCGTAGTCATGCTATCTCCAAGTCATCTGAAGTCAGTTACGCTGCCTTTGTCTGGCTCTGTGTGTCCTGCCTACCTTGTCCCTACACCCCTATTGACAGAGGATTCTGGAGGCCATGTGGCAAGAGTTGCCCAAAGAAATGTTTCTGCCAAGGAAAATCTCTTTACAGCTGTCTTCTGTAGCTGAAGGATGATATTTTCAAGGCAGTTCATGGTATGATTTGTTTTGGGTTCTATAGCCTAGCTTCTCACCCTGTTCTGAAGTGGTGGTAGCGCAAGGTGCCTGGAGTTAGAGCCCCTAAGGTACCTGGCATTAAGGTAAACCAGTTTTGCAGATTACCTCTTTGCTTTCACATACATCCCCCCATGCCTTTTTTTTTTTT